GCTTTTGTACTTCCTTATGCCATTCCTTAGGCATTCCTTGTGATGATTTGAGCTACGGTGTTTACAGGGATAGGGATAACTACTTGAAGGAGTACGTTCTGACCAACATTCCCTCTTACTCGGATCTCTTTACCTCAGACAACCTTCTTGCTCTCTCAGCCCACGGCAAGACAATGAGTCAGCTCCAGATCCCTTCCTTCAGCAGGAGGAAAGCTGCCCCCAGGATCGTTGTTGCCCCTGCAGCAACTTCTTCCCCAGTTTCGGTATCTTCCTCTGCCACTATTTCTGATACCACTCCTTCCACCGATCCGTACGTGACGGCTGCCGACCAGATTTTCAGCACTACGACTGTTAATCCGAACGCGATCCCTTCTGTCAACAACCTTCCTAGCACTGCTACTGCTACCGCACAGGGCAAAGACGAGAAGAAAAAGGCATCAGCCTGAGAGTGCTCTTAGCCCTAATGACGTTCCTCTGTCACAAAGGGTTAGGCCTTCTGGGCCGAGTGTGTCCGTGCAACCTCTAACAAGGCCTCCTCTGACTAGGCCTTCTACCCCTTCTGGGCATGCCTCTGCCTCTGAAACGGCTCCATGGAACCCTCGCTTCATTCGAATAGACGGATTGTCTGTAAAGCCGAACGAGACCATGTTCAAGGATGGTCAGACCGCTATGGCATACAACAGGAGCATGTGGACTCCCAAGGATATTGAAGTAGCCAAGGGTCTGTCCCAGAAGGAAGTGTTTAGCCGGTTCCCCTTATCTGCTATGGAGGTAACTTCTGTTCCTTAGTCAATGAATATTTACACAATCTTTACATTTGATTTCCTCTAACCATCTGCTCGGCTTAATCAGTTGTCATGTATATCTCTACAGACCCTATACGGGATGATGGCCATGCAGAAGCAGGTTGAGCTGGTGAATGCCAAGGTTCGCATTCTCTCTGACAACCTTGGTGCAGCTAACAAGGAAAACGATGCTTTAGGTGCTCAGAATACTGGGTTGATGGTTCAGATTAACAAAGTTGAAAAGGAGAGGGACTCTCTGAAGAATGAGATGGACTCTCTTCAGGACGAAAGGAACGCTCTGCAGCTTGAGAAGAGTGTCTAGCACACTAAGCGAGAATCCCTTAAGGCTAAAAAGGAAGAACTTCTACGCCTTCTGAGTGATGAGCGATCCGCTCGGATGGCCTTTAAGAAAAGGGCTCTAGACGAGCGCAATGCTTTACTCAACACCATCAGTAAGGTAAATGGTGGTATGCTAGCTCTGCACGCTCGGTTTTCCAGGGTTGGGGCCCTCAGATATGCTCAGGGGTTCCAAGAGGGTTATGCCGATTGGGTTCCAGATGAGGGTCAAACCTGTTCTACCCCTGATGAGGTTGACAAAGAGCTGGAGATTGATCCTTCGGGTGTTTATGCCGACCCAGACTCCACCCCTGCTGAGGGCGTATTTGATGAATGCCAAGAGATCGCTTCTTCCAGGATCACTCCTACTCCTTTTACCGTTCTGCCTTTGGACGTTCTTCCTCTGTCCACCGTGACTCCATCCATCACTGCTTCTGAGGATGACCCTCGGTAGAATGATTCTTCCAATGCTATTGAGGATAGGACTTAGCAGAATGATTCAATCATTCAGCTCGATTCTCCTCCTCGTGAGGATGGTAACGCCAACAATGATGAGGAGGCCGTTCAGCACCATCAAGAAGCTGACGGGGCAAATGCTTCTAGCTAGAACCTTTCTGATAAACTGACCTCCTTTCTTTTGTATTTTTCCTATCTGTATACCTCATTTTTTTTTTTTTTTTTTTTTTTTTTTTTTTTTTTTTTGTAACTCTGAGACTTCGTTATTAATGAGATGGCCGACTTTTGATTGAACTCTTTCCATAAATCCTTTGACTTTATGATTTAATGCTATCTGATCTGGTTCTTCTCTGTATGTCAGTGGCTGGCTTTCGGCTAGTATGCCACTTTACCACACAACAAATTTTTTGTGCAAGTTTTTGGCGTCCGGCTCATAGTGTCAGCTGCCACTTACTTTGTTGAGTGGTTGGCGCTAGGCTAGAATGCCACTTGCCACTTTCACTCTTTTATTTTTTGGCAAGTTTTTGGCATTCAGCTCATAGTGCCAGCTGCCACTTACTTTGCTGAGTTGTTAGCGCTCGGCTAGAATGCCATTTTCCACTTTCACTCTTTTATTTTTTTTATTTTTATTTTTTTTTAGCAAGTTTTTGGCATTTAGCTTATAGTGCCAGCCGCCACTTACTTTGCTGAGTGGTTGGCGCTCAGCTAGAATGCCATTTGCCACTTTCACTCTTTTATTTTTTTTTGCAAGTTTTTGGCGTTCGGCTCATAGTGCCAGCTGCCACTTACTTTGCTGAGTGGTTGGTGCTCGGCTAGAATGTCACTTGTCACTTTCACTCTTTTATTTTTTTTGGCAAGTTTTTGGCGTTCGGCTCGTAGTGCCAGCTGCCACTTACTTTGCTGAGTGGTTGGCGCTCGGCTAGAATGCCACTTGCCACTTTCACTCTTTTATTTTTTTTGGCAAGTTTTTGGCGTTCGGCTCGTAATGCCAGCTGCCATTTACTTTGCCGAGTGGTTGGCGCTCAGCTAGAATGCCACTTGCCACTTTCACTCTTTTATTTTTTTGGCAAGTTTTTGGCGTTCGACTCATAGTGCCATCTGCCACTTACTTTGCTGAGTGGTTGGCGCTCTGCTAGAATGCCACTTGCCGCTTTCACTCGTTTATTTTTTGGTAAGTTTTTGGCGTTCGGCTCATAGTGCCAGCTGCCACTTACTTTTCAAATTTTCAAACATTCAATTTTTTCATAGGAAGATAGCTCTTTATAGATTTCAAAATTTCGTACATTCATGCGTACACAATTTGAAAATAAACAATGATAAAATTGGAACTCGATTTTCTATTGATAATACCTTTTCAGAGATGTAGCATTCCATGGCTTATTGACCAGTCTTCCGGCCATGGTTTTTAAAGTGTAAGCTTCCTTTCCTAAGACTTCTGCAACTCCATATGGGTCTTCCTAAGGTGCCACCATTTTCTTAATCATTCCTACATTCTTCTTCAGAACCAGATCACCTGGTGTAAAGTCTCTGTGCTTTACCTTTCGGTTATGGCTATTTATAAGTGTCTGTTGGTAGGATGCGAGCCTTACTGCCGCTGCATCTATCTTTTCCTCCAACACATCGAGATTAAACCTCAACATGCTGTCGTTATGCTCTCGGCTCCATGCCAAACTTCGGACAGTCGGAACCAAGTGTTCGACCAGTATAACTGCCTCGGTACTATACGTCATGGCGAATGGGCTTTCTCCGGTCGGTCGCCTTGAGGTCGTTCTATCAGCCCATAAGACGTTCGGCAGTTCATCTAACCATTTTCCTTTCTTATCTTCAAACTTCTTCTTGATGCAAACAAAGATTGTTCTATTAATGACTTCTGCTTGTCCATTGGCCTAGGGGTGACTTACTGCTGCTAATTTTTGGTTAATTCCATATTCTTCCAGTAATTCTCTGACTTGCTTGCTGTCGAGATTAGTCCCATTATCCATAACGATTGACCTCGGGACACCAAAACGGCAAATAATATTACTCCAGATGAAGCGTCTTACATGAGTTTGCGTTACGCTCAGATATGGCTCTGTTTTTACCCATTTGGTAAAGTAATCTGTTGCCAGTAATATATACTTGTTCTGAGCTCTTGCAGTTGGCAGAGGACCAACCACATCCATCCCCCATTGTGCGAAAGGCCATGGTATGGCCATTACGTGCAAGTCCTTAGGTGGTTGGTAGATCAGTGGTCTGAACCTTTTGCACTTATCGCACCTTCTGGAGAATTCCTCCGCATCTCGTGACATGTTTTGCCAGAAGTACCCTTGCGTCATTGCTTTGTGCGCTAGAGATCTTCCCCCTGAATGATTTCCACACACACCTTCATAAATAGCTCGCAGTATCTGCCGAGCCTCTGTGGGGGTGACGCACTTTAAGTACGGCCCAGAAAAAAACCTCCTGTATAACTGGTTATGCACCATGGCGTACTTTGCAGCATTCAATTTGATTTTCTTAGCCTCATCTCTTTGCTCAGGCAGAGTTCCATCCCAAATGTAAGTTATGATCGGATCAATCCAACTTGGCTCATATGGAATAACATTCACTTGCCAAGGATCTAGGCCTGAAGGTTCTTCAAAAATAGATGGCTAGTTCAGTATCCCTACTGGAATCACCCTTACCAATGTTTCTCCAGAACCCGAAGCGCTACATGCTAGCCAATCGGCATCTTCGTTATGCTCTCTCGGTATTTGGATGAATTCAATTTTTTCAAAGTTTTTGGCTTCCCACATAACAACAGAATGATATGTGTCCATCGTTTCATCCTTGGTTTCATATTCGCCGTTCACCTGTCGAACAATTAACTGCGAGTCACTAAAGACAGTCAAATTCCTGACCTTCAGCTCCTTGGCAAGCTTAAGTCCTGCCAACAGTGCCTCATACTCACCTTCATTGTTGGTGGCTCTGAATTCAAGTCGGAGCGCTTGACTTAAGGACGTACCTTCTGGTGTCTGCAGTTTGATCCCAATGCCTGCCCCCATCTGATTTGAGGATCCATCGACAAAGAGTTTCCACAAGAAACTACGAAGGTCTTCCTCCATGTCTTCTGAATCACATTTTAATGAAAAATTTGCTACTGCTTGCCCTTTGACTGCCGTTCTGGGTTCATATGTTATATCAAATGAGTTTAACTCTATGGCCCATTTCGTCATCCTTCCTGAGAGGTTTGGCTTATGCAGGATTATTCTGATAGGGAAAGTGGTTAGAACGATGATAGGATGGGATTCAAAATAATGCCTGAGCTTTTTTTTCACATGCACTAGCGAGAGTATCACCCGCTCGGCCTTTGAATAACGTCGTTCGGCCTCAGTCATCATTTTGCTAACATAGAACACTGGATATTGCTTCCCCTCTGCACAACGGATCAGAACGCCACTTGTCGCGATGCTGGATACCCCGAGGTATAAAAATAGTTTTTCTCCTGGTTTTGGAGCTGACAGGACCGAAAGGTTCTGCATATATTCTTTCAGACCAGTTAATGCTAGGCGCTGTTCATCCCCCCAAACTTATTTGCCATGGCTTCGTATTGTGTCAAAAAATGGTTTGCAGCGATCTAACAATTTGGAAATGAACCGGCTCAATGCAGCGATCCGTCCTGTAAGTGTTTGCACTTCTTTGACTGTCGTCGGCTCGGTATTCTTAGTTAGGGCTTCTGCTTGGGCAGGGCTAGCTTCTATGCCTCTATGATTAACCACGTGTCCCAGGAATTAACCAGAACTCACGCCGAATGAGCACTTGGTTGGATTGAGCTTCATTCCATAGTGCCTCAACACATCAAATACGTCTTATAGATGTTTCAGATGGTCAAATTTCTTCTTACTTTTTACTACCAGGTCATCAATGTAAGCTTCCACAGTCTTCCCTATTTGACCCTTGAAAATTTTGCTAATAAGCCTTTGGTAAGTTGCTCCGGCGTTCTTCAGTCCGAATGACATAACTTTGTAGCAATAGGTCCCGTGTTCAGTAACGAAAGAAGTTTTCTCCTCATCGGCAGAATCCATGGGGATTTGATTATAACATGAATAAGCATCTAAAAAGGTTAGACGTTCATACCCAGTAGTAGCATCTACCATTTGATCAATTTTTGGCAGCGGAAAGCTATATGTAAGACCCGTGTAAAATACATATATATATTTATATCATATATTTATTTACTTAATATAATTTAATGGTTATCTCTGATTTAATTTAAACAGGTGATTGTGATAAAGTTTGTTAAATAATTTAAATTTTAAAAAAAAAACTAATTTATCTCACCAGACTCCCTATATCTCTATAACTCTCTAATACGTTTTATTTATATATAAAAAAAGAGATACTAGCACGATAACGGGATAAGAAGGGACCAGAGAGAGTGATTTGACGTCGTGTTTTCCTGCAGTAGCCGGGGGAAAGGAACGGTAATCGGGAAGTCGCGTAGAAAGGAAGAATTATTTATACCAGGCAAGTTAATCTTGCTTTGTACTTTTGTATATAAATGTGACTCGGCATATTATGTTCTTTGTCTATATAATTTATTTTTTTTATGTCTTATTAAATTGATATAAAATATTTTAATTATAATTACGAACAAGATGATAATTATATTTAAGTTATTTTTATGTGATCTTGGGATAGAAGGATCTAATCTGGAATATTTATATATAACTTTATACATGTATGAACTGACTGAATTAATTTTTAAAGTCTGGATCATAGAAACTGTAAAATAATTTTATTTATTGGTTTGTTAAGGTAGTAGGGAATTAAAATAGTATATGGATTTGTATACGTGTGTGTGTGTGTGTGTGTATATATATATATATATATATATATATATATTATTTTCCTGACAGTCATGTATGGATAAAGCAACCACAGTTGTGGACAAATATGATACAGTGTGGTGATCGGACAAAGGACAATAGTTTTATTCGTGAACAAGAGCACAATTTGGAGCATAAGATTCATTTTTTTTTTTTTCTAAATAATTAATGTACCATGGGTTAGCCGCATGTCATGAGATGTAAACAAATTTGTCTGGTAAGAGTTCCAGAACTTATAATAGAATAGTCATGGAGTAGCTGAAGTTCTATTAGTGGTTGTTGTACAACTTGTAAGAATTGATTTTCTCTTTATGTGTTAGATGGTTCATGAGTCATAATTGATAGCTATAGTACAAACTGTGGGTTGACTAGAATTGGTTTTGTCTTCTTGTAAAGTTTGAGAGGATGATTGGTTATTGGTTAGAGACTTAAGAAAAGGAATTCAGTCTTGAGAATGAAATGGGCCAGTATGTGCAAGCAAACCCACGAGCAAGCTATTGTTAGGCTTTGGTTGAGTTACTGGAAATGGTGTAAAATAAGGTTCAATAGTTATTTTAAAATATTAGGAATTGTGCAAAGTAGTAGTTAAATAATATTATAAATTATGGTATATTTCTAGCTTCTCAAATCATGTGGTGGAATTTTTTTTAATTGTTTAATGTATATATAAACATATTATTATATATTTTCAGTGTAATATATAAGCATGGGATATGATTGGATTAGTCGGAGGAGTAGTCCAGGACTGACTTAGTGATGACTTTTGGGTATGGTCAGGGACCTACCTATTTGGGAGTACACTACCCTTTTGTTATGGCCATGGGTCTAATGAGCCCTTATTGTGTGGACGTGATCAGGGATCATCTGGGGAGTAGACGTACAATCCAGCCTCACGTGTGTTTTTGGTAGTCAGGGACTATACGATTCACACCACTTTATTGGACGGGAGCCAGGGGCTCATGCGAGATATGTGGATTTATTAATGAATAAATAATATATATTTATTGAGTTTATAATTAAGTGGGATTTACATATCTGATTAAAGCACTTATTTGAGCTACTTATATATATAAGAATACAAGGTGAGGTTAATTTGCTGAACGATGATTGTGTTTAGCATTTATTGCTGAGCTTGTGAGCTCACCCTATTATCACATTTCAGGTACACGTTGAGTAGGAATGTGATGGGATCACATGATGGTGATGGATTTTGGCCAGCTTTATGTATTTTTTTGGTTTAGTTAATTTTCGCATTGTAATAAGAATGGCGATATTTTTCTTTTGAGTTAGTTCATTTTGGTCCAGTTATCGTGGATTATTTTTGACAAGGTTGTTTGATACTATGGTTGTATCAATTTAATAATTAGAGGGTGGTTTGAATCTACCTCTTTATTTGATTATTTTTTTTATTTTTATTATTATTATTTTTTTTGTAATGTTGTGGTTCTGTAATGAAAGTCATGCCAGACTTTAATACAAGACAGGAGTTCATGTATTTAAGATTTTTTTTGGGGTGTGACAGTTTGGTATCAGAGCCTAGGTTAAGAATTACCTGGCTAAGAAAAGTGATAGTAAGAATAGGAGCATATACTTATACGAATTATTACTCTCTTACCATGCTCCAATTTAAGTATAAATTACTTGTGAGACTTATCATTGACATTCTTTACTGAAAATAGGATGTCAGGAGCTGGAAGAGGCAGAGGACGACCTGCTAGAGGTAGAGGTCAGGGAGGTGCTGGTCGTGGTGGTGTTGACCATGACAATGTTCAGTTGGAGGATGCACCTCATGTGCCAAATCCTATGATTGGATTTATCAGAGATATCCGCAAATTGGGGGCTGTTGAATTTGCTAGAGCTACCGATCCACTTGATGCTGAGAAGTGGATTGAAGATATGGAAAAGTATTTTGAGATGATGGACTGCACTGAGGTGCAGAAAAGGAAGATTGGTACATTTCTTTTATCTGGTGAGGCGCGCCAGTGGTGGCAGTCAGAGACCAGGATGGTTGTGGACATTACAACTATGACCTGGGATGATTTTAAAACTCGGTTCAATGACAAATACTTTCCACAATCAGTGAAGGAGAAGAAGGCAGCAGAGTTCACGCAGCTGGAACAGAATAATGAGATGTCAGTTAGTGAGTACGAGAGGAAGTTTACAGAGCTATCCCGATTCGCTCCTCACATTGTTGCGAATGAGTTACACAAGGTTAGAAAGTTTGAGCGAGGATTGGTCTCTTATGTGAAGAAGTTTGTGGTGGGTCATCGTTTTGACACATATGCTAGAGTGGTGGAATGTGCTATGGCAGTAGAGGAGAATAATAACATTGCCTTTCAGAAACAGAAGGAGCGTAGGGCAGAACAGAAAGGTAAGGGGGCTAGCAGCACTCAACAGAATCAGAGTAGCTCTCAACAGAATCAGAGGGGTCAGCAGCAGCAGACTCAGAGAAACTGGCAGGGTCAGTCTTGGCAGAGAGGTAGACAAGATTGGCGAGCAGGGAAATGGCAGAGAGTTGGTGAAGGTGAGCAATCCACAGCTTTAGTACCAGCCACACCTCATGATGCACAGCCATATCAGTTCAGCGGGCATTGCTATAATTGTCGTGAACAAGGACATTTGGCTCGTAATTGTCCTAAGCCTCACAAGAATAACCAGCAGAAAGGTCAGGCACCACAGCAACAAGGAGGTGCAAGGGTTTACGCAGTTGTTCCAGATGGGAGACAGGATCGTGCACCACCAGCAGTAGAAGGTACACTTACTATTTATGGCAGTATAGCTAGAGTACTATTTGATTCAGGTTCTTCATATTCTTTTATTGCACTATCATTTGTGAATACACTGGGATTAGAACCTGGACATATAAGTAATGCCTTATCTATTATAACTCCACTCGGGAGCGCAACGACACTTGATAGAATATGTCGTGCTTGCCCTGTTACAATTGGGGAGTTGGAGTATCCTATTGATTTAATAGTATTACGTATGAGAGAATTTGATGCTATACTGGGTATGGATTGGTTGGCTAGATATCATGCTCAGTTGGACTGCCATGAGAGGATTATTGTATTCTCAGTTCCGGGACAGTTTCCTTCTCGATATAAGTGTGGGGAGTTTGAGGGCACCATGACTATGGGATTTCTGGCCCACATCGAGGTGGTTGAGCAATGCGTGACTATAGAGCAGTTGTCTACAGTGTCAGAGTATGCAGATGTGTTTCGGGATATTCCGGGTTTGCCTCCTAGGAGGGCAGTGGATTTCTGCATCGACCTCACTCCTGGTATTTCACCTATCTCTAGGGCAACCTACAGAATGGTGCCAGTTGAATTGAGTGAGTTGAAGAAGCAGACTCAAGAGTTGCAAGATCGGGGGTTTATTCGACCTAGCACATCACCGTGGGGAGCACCTGTTCTTTTTGTTAAGAAGAAGGATGGGTCACTCCGCTTATGTGTTGACTATCGTGCGCTGAATAAGGTCACTATTAAGAACAAGTACCCATTGCCACGCATCGATGATTTGTTTGATCAACTCAGAGGGGCGCAGTTGTTCTCTAAGGTTGACTTGAGGACTGGGTACCATCAGCTGAGGATTAGGGATGAGGATATTCCTAAGACTGCCTTTAGGACTCGTTATGGCCTCTATGAGTTTTTAGTCATGCCTTTTGGGTTGACTAACGCTCCGGCAGCTTTTATGGATTTGATGAACCGAGTGTTTCGACCTTACTTGGATCAGTTTGTTGTGGTATTTGTTGATGACATTCTGATATATTCCAAGACTAAGGAGGAACATGAGAGACACTTGAGCATTGAACTTCAGACTTTGCGTGAGCATCAGCTCTATGCTAAGTTTGAGAAGTGTGACTTTTGGCAAGAGCAGATTCAGTTTTTGGGGCACGTGATCTCTAAGGATGGAGTTTTAGTAGATTCTGCCAAGGTGGAGGCTGTGATGAGTTGGAAACGGCCTACTACTGTCACTGAGATTCGTAGCTTCTTAGGACTGGCAGGATACTACAGGCGTTTCATTGAAGGTTTCTCCAAGATTGCTGCACCATTGACCCGTTTGACTCGGAAGGATGTGAAGTTTGTTTGGGATCACCGCTGTGAGCAAGCATTTGAGGAGCTGAAGACGAGATTGACTTCGGCACCAGTTCTTACCATTCCTGTTAGTGGTGAGAGATTTGTGATTTACACAGATGCATCACATCAGGGTCTTGGCTGTGTTTTGATGCAAGATGACAAGGTGGTAGCGTATGCCTCTAGGCAGCTTAAGCCACATGAGCAGAATTACCCTACACATGATCTGGAATTGGCAGCAGTGGTTCTTGCATTGAAGGTGTGGAGGCATTACTTGTATGGCGAGGAATTTGAGTTATTCTCTGATCACAAGAGCCTCAAATACCTCTACACTCAGAAGGAGTTGAATATGAGGCAACGAAGGTGGATGGAGAAGATGAAGGATTTTGATATGACTCTTCAGTATCATCCTGGAAAGGCGAATGTGGTAGCAGATGCCTTGAGTCGGAAACCGAGAGGATTAGTTGCCTTTATGATGATTCAGGAGTGGATGATGTTAGAGGCATTGGCAGAGTTTTCTATCATGCCGAGTTCTCAGAGTACAGGGGTTATTCTTTGTAGTTTGACTGTACAACCTACTTTGATCAGCCGGATCATTCATTTTCAGACTCTGGATGACAGGTTACAGACCAAAGCAGTTGAGTCTGTTAATGATGAAGGTAATATTGACTGGGCGTATGGAGCTGATGGTGGTATGAGATTTCGAGGTAGGCTATGTGTTCCAGACTTAGCAGACCTCAAGAGAGAGATTTTAGAGGAGGCACATCACTCTAGGTACACAGTGCACCCAGGTGGGACTAAGATGTATCATGATCTTAAGAGGCAGTTCTGGTGGGAAGGCATGAAACGTGATGTGGCAGAGTTTGTATCTAGATGTCTCACTTGTCAGCGAGTGAAAGCTGAGCACCAGAGACCAGCAGGACTATTACAGCCTTTGCCTGTGCCTGAGTGGAAATGGGAGCATGTGACGATGGATTTTGTAGTGGGGTTACCGAGGTCGATACATAACCATGATACAGTATGGGTGATAGTGGACCGATTGACTAAATCAGCTCATTTTCTACCCATTCGAGCTACTGATACTGTAAAGGAATTGTGTAAGATCTACATTAGAGACATAGTTAAGTTTCATGGAGTGCCGGTGTCTATTGTCTCAGATCGTGATCCTCGTTTTTCATCTCGATTTTGGAGTAGTTTCCAAACAGCTTTTGGTACTCCTTTGAGTTTGAGTACTGCTTTTCATCCTCAGACCGATGGCCAGTCCGAGAGGGTCATTCAGGTGTTGGAGGATATGCTTCGTGCTTGTGTGCTAGATTTTCGGGGCAGTTGGGAGGATCACATTCCATTGGTTGAGTTCGCTTATAATAATAGCTATCAGGCTAGTATCGGCATGGCACCATATGAGGCACTTTATGGTAGACCTTGTCGTTCACCTGTATGTTGGGCTGAGGTTGGTGATGGTAGTTTTTTGGGGCCAGAGTTGGTGCAAGAGACTACGGAGAAGGTTGCCATCATTCGAGATCGACTTCGCACAGCTCAGAGTCGACAAAAGAGTTATGCAGACCGACGCCGTCGTGCTTTGGAGTTTAGTGTGGGTGACTTGGTGTTCTTGGAAGTATCACCAATGAAGGGGGTTACGAGATTTGGTAGGAAGAAAGGGAAGTTAGCTCCTCGATTCATTGGACCTTTTGAGATCACAGAGAGGGTTGGAGTGGTGGCATATAGATTGGCTCTACCACATAGACTATCAGCTGTTCACGATGTTTTCCATGTCTCTATGTTGAGGAGGTGCTTGAGGGATGAAACTCAGGTCATTGACTGCACAGAGGTCCAGATTTGCCCTAATACGACCTATGTTGAGACGCCTGTTCGCATTGTTGACAGTATGGTGAAACAGTTGAGGCGGGCAGAGATACCTCTGGTGAAGGTATAGTGGAATCATCAGGATGAGAGAGAGGCTACTTAGGAGCTAGAGTCAGAAATGAAGGGAAAGTACCCACATCTATTCGAATAAGGTACGCAAATTTCGAGGACGAAATTTCTTTCTAGGAGGGTAGAATGTAAGACCCGTGTAAAATACATATATATATTTATATCATATATTTATTTACTTAATATAATTTAATGGTTATCTCTGATTTAATTTAAACGGGTGATTGTGATAAAGTTTGTTAAATAATTTAAATTTTTTTAAAAAAACTAATTTATCTCACCAGACTCCCTATATCTCTATAACTCTCTAATACGTTTTATTTATATATAAAAAAAAGAGATACTAGCACGATAACGGGATAAGAAGGGACTAGAGAGAGTGATTTGACGTCGTGTTTTCCTGCAGCAGCCGGGGGAAAGGAACGGTAATCGGGAAGTCGCGTAGAAAGGAAGAATTATTTATACCAGGCAAGTTAATCTTGCTTTGTACTTTTGTATATAAATGTGACTCGGCATATTATGTTCTTTGTCTATATAATTTATTTTTTTTATGTCTTATTAAATTGATATAAAATATTTTAATTATAATTACGAACAAGATGATAATTATATTTAAGTTATTTTTATGTGATCTTGGGATAGAAGGATCTAATCTGGAATATTTATATATAACTTTATACATGTATGAACTGACTGAATTAATTTTTAAAGTCTGGATCATAGAAACTGTAAAATAATTTTATTTATTGGTTTGTTAAGGTAGTAGGGAATTAAAATAGTATATGGATTTGTATACGTGTGTGTGTGTGTGTGTGTGTGTATATATATATATATTGTTTTCCTGACAGTCATGTATGGATAAAGCAACCACAGTTGTGGACAAATATGATACAGTGTGGTGATCGGACAAAGGACAATAGTTTTATTCGTGAACAAGAGCACAATTTGGAGCATAAGATTCATTTTTTTTTTCTAAATAATTAATGTACCATGGGTTAGCCGTATGTCATGAGATGTAAACAAATTTGTCTGGTAAGAGTTCCAGAACTTATAATAGAATAGTCATGGAGTAGCTGAAGTTCTATTAGTGGTTGTTGTACAACTTGTAAGAATTGATTTTCTCTTTATGTGTTAGATGGTTCATGAGTCATAATTGATAGCTATAGTACAAACTGTGGGTTGACTAGAATTGGTTTTGTCTTCTTGTAAAGTTTGAGAGGATGATTGGTTATTGGTTAGAGACTTAAGAAAAGGAATTCAGTCTTGAGAATGAAATGGGCCAGTATGTGCAAGCAAACCCACGAGCAAGCTATTGTTAGGCTTTGGTTGAGTTACTGGAAATGGTGTAAAATAAGGTTCAATAGTTATTTTAAAATATTAGGAATTGTGCAAAGTAGTAGTTAAATAATATTATAAGTTATGGTATATTTCTAGCTTCTCAAATCATGTGGTGGAATTTTTTTTAATTGTTTAATGTATATATAAACATATTATTATATATTTTCAGTGTAATATATAAGCATGGGATATGATTGGATTAGTCGGAGGAGTAGTCCAGGACTGACTTAGTGATGACTTTTGGGTATGGTCAGGGACCTACCTATTTGGGAGTACACTACCCTTTTGTTATGGCCATGGGTCTAATGAGCCCTTATTGTGTGGACGTGATCAGGGATCATCTGGGGAGTAGACGTACAATCCAGCCACACGTGTGTTTTTGGTAGTCAGGGACTATACGATTCACACCACTTTATTGGACGGGAGCCAGGGGCTCATGCGAGATATGTGGATTTATTAATGAATAAATAATATATATTTATTGAGTTTATAATTAAGTGGGATTTACATATCTGATTAAAGCACTTATTTGAGCTGCTTATATATATAAGAATACAAGGTGAGGTTAATTTGCTGAACGATGATTGTGTTTAGCATTTATTGCTGAGCTTGTGAGCTCACCCTATTATCACATTTCAGGTACACGTTGAGTAGGAACGTGATGGGATCACATGATGGTGATGGATTTTGGCCAGCTTTATGTATTTTTTTGGTTTAGTTAATTTTCGCATTGTAATAAGAATGGCGATATTTTTCTTTTGAGTTAGTTCATTTTGGTCCAGTTATCGTGGATTATTTTTGACAAGGTTGTTTGATACTATGGTTGTATCAATTTAATAATTAGAGGGTGGTTTGAATCTACCTCTTTATTTGATTATTTTTTTTATTTTTATTATTATTTTTTTTTTGTAATGTTGTGGTTCTGTAATGAAAGTCATGCCAGACTTTAATACAAGACAGGAGTTCATGTATTTAAGATTTTTTTTTGGGCGTGACACTATCCTTCGGACAGGCTTTGTTCAAATGGGTGAAATCAATGCACACTCGCCATTTCCCATTCTTCTTCTACACAACAACAACGTTTGGCAACCAGTCAGGATAATACACTTCTCTTATAAATCCCGCATCGAGCAACCTGTCAACCTCCTCGGCTATGATCCAGTTGCGTTCTGGAGCAAACCTTCACTGCTTCTGCTTTACAGGTCTTGCATTAAGATTAACGTTCAAGGAGTGACAAGATCCGGAAGGATTGATTCCAGGCATGTCTAGGTGACTCCATGCAAATACATCAGCGTTCTGAGACAAGAAACCAACTAACTCCTGTTTCTCCTTCACAGCAAGTCGTTCCCCCACTCTCGTTGTTCGTTCTGGTCAGAACCGATCGATCTATACATCAACTAGGGGTTCTTCGGTCAATTCCACTGGCTCCTCCTCCCCATTCTGCTTGGGGGGAGGTTCCTGTAATTGTTATCTCGGGCTTGCCGAATGGATGGGTGCTTTCCCTTTTCCAGCATACTTCAGCGTTACTGAATAACATTCCTTAGCTGCAACCTGGTCCCCATGAATGTCGATTACCTTGGCTCCGTCTGCCCCAGGTATCTCATTACTTGATGCAGAGTGGAGGGAACACCTTGAACTCTGTGGATCCACCCTCTGCCCATCAGAAGGTTGTAAGAGGGATGAATCTCGACAACTACAAATGTCTCCATCAGAACCCTCTCTGCAGCATGTACTGCTACCTCCACCGTACCGATGGGCTCCACTCGTTTTCCATCAAACCCTAGCAAAGGATTCCCAGTGGGCTTGAGCCGATCAGGCTTAATCTTGAGCCGATCAAATGTGTCCCTCGGCATGACATTTACACTACTTCCAGGATCAATCAGAACTCTGCGTACTAAACATTCGCCCACTATTAAACTGATGACCAACGGGTCCTCATGGGGGATCTGAGCATGCAATAGATCTATTCTGTCAAACTTTATCTGTGTTGATGGGCTCTGTTGGTGCAGAGTGTTTACATTGCCCATCATTCTCTTCATCGTTGCCTGACGAAGGCGTGTTCGAAGCAATTCATCTGACTCCTCAGTAGGCTCAGGCCAACCGTGGATTGCATTGATTATTCGAACTGGTTGCGTATTGTGAGAGTTCGACTTCTGATTCCTCTTTACGTGCTCCATCGGTCGGTTCTGTTCCACCGCTGGGCCTTGAATATAACTTGCGAACTCCCCTCTGGCTATCAGCATCTCTACCTGTCTCCTTAAGTTCCTGCATTCATTAGTCTGATGGCTAAAGTCAGAATGAAATGCACAATGCTTAGACTGATCCCTCTGTTCGAGGGGTTGTCTGATTGGTAAAGGAGATCAGAACTTATCTTTATTTTCTTGGTACAGCCTTGCTAAGGTGACCTTCAATGGAGTAACCAGCTCTTCCTCCCTAAGTCTCTTCTCAGATTTCCACGAGGTCTGACGCTGTGGCTGAACCTGTTTTTGTCTGATCTTTGCTTTGGTTTTCTCTTCTATTGATATGACGGATGTCTTCTGAGCGTTAGCTGCCTCTTCTTCTTCCAAGCGCACAAATCCATCAGCTCTTTCATTAAGTTCGTCCATAGTCTTCGGCGTAGTCACTACCAAGCTTGTGTGGAATGGAGTGCCACGAGTCATGGCCAATATAAACGTTTGAATTACCGTAGAAGGATGACATTCAATCACTATACTCTTAGTAAGGTTAAACCTGGTTAGGAAAGCTTGGAGACGCTCATCCTCATGCTGCTTCATTGTGAATAGGCTCGAAATGTCCTTTGTTGGACGCTTATTTCCATAATATTGGCTTCTGAACCAATCACACAAGCTTCGAAAACTATCCACTGAGCCCCTTAGCAAGTTCTTGAACCAACTGAGCGCTGGTCCAGCTAGACTTGTAGGGAAGTACTTGCACATCAAGGAATCATTCTCAGTGTTCAGAGCCATTTTCAACTGGATGTGATACACATGATCAATCGGATCGGTCGTTCCGTCGAACAGAATGAAAATGGGCATGGAAAATTTCCTCGGACTCGGAGCATTCAGAATTTCATCGGTGAACGGTGAATCAACCATTCGAGCTGCTGAACGGAGGGCTTCATTTTCCCTCTGGAACCCCGCGATTGCTCTCTGATCTACAGATCTCCTCCTTGAGCTGCAATAGTCGAGCGTCGCCATGGAAGGCTGATAAGTCGGATCGAATGATCTTTCCTCAATAAACTCTTTGTGCCATGGCGGTATAGCTTTGTGGCGATCAAACTCCATTGCTTCTCTTCTGCTGAGTGTTTCTTGATTTGGATCGAAAGTCATGGCTTCGTTTCGCCTAATCTGTTCACGCTGTGGATCCACGTGAGTTGATCCTTCACGATCATCAACACGACGAGGATTTGGAGGCAAATTGTTTGGCCGGACCTCCTCGCGGTGAAGATCTGTCTAATTATTCCCTACCTCCTCATCGTGATGTGCCGCATCGGTATGTACAACTTCTTCTCCTACCGGGAGCGGTCGCGGAATCACCGGAACTTCTTGACGCTGCATTTCAGTCCTTAGATCTGCATTCTCTCTCCTGAGAGCTTCGATCATGCTCATCAACTCATCAAGTTTCATCTGCTGGACATTCTCTACCGTATTGGAGTTCTCACCCCCAGTCATCATTCCAGAATGGAGCAAAGGAATGAATCACAAATTCTAAGTTAGGTCTGAGTCTCGCTGACGCGAATCACGTCAGATCTGGACTCAAATTTTACGAATTATGTTCTCTATTCGATAGATCAGAGCTTTTCCGGCGTCTGAGCTTGCTGGATCGAGCCGCGATAGAGTGAATCACAGCTGCGTAAACCTAACGCCAATTTCTCATAATCAATTAAGAATCAAGAATTTCTCAAGAGCAAACTATAATCTCTTAGATCTGGATTAAACTTCTAGAAATCAAACTTCGTCATCATCAATCAATCTGAATCAACATGACGTTGATCAAACAAGAATCAACCTCCAACGCTTCCCACAGACGGCGCCAATTGAAGATGCAAAGAATTTTCTCTCTCTACTTTGACAGAGTCTCATTACATTTTCAATAAAAAAAATAAATCTCTCCCTCTTTTACTCTCTTCACTGCTCTTTTATAGGCAATTACAAATGTTACTGGACTATCAGTTTTGGGCCTTCTTTCCAATAGGCTTGGCCTTCTTCGGTGAACCCTCCGAGCTCGACCCATTCTGTGGTGCTCTTGTATGGGCTGTATTTCGATTGTTTGCCCCGATGTCACGTTCGCGGACTATAACCGGTCCATATCACTTATTGTATCCTCAGAAATATATACTGAAAATGAATTTTCTAAAGCTGTACTAAAGCTGTAGACGTCAAAAAGGACCCACACGGTATCAGCTTGACTTGCATTTTTTGATTTGGGAATTTTTTTTTTTTTTTTTTTATCACCAATTTGGGAATTTGACATGTCAACCCAAAGACTTGTAGCATGTATTGTAGCATAATTTCTGGACCGTTGAACATTCTGTCGCTTTCATTCTTGAATGCATGATTTAATTCTAATTTGGTTTCAGAATTTTCAAAAGAAATGAAATAAGAATTTGCTAGTCCAAGTATGGGTGCCAAGACTATTTTCAATAATGTTCACTGCAGAAACTGGAAGTTGACATGTCTTCACCATCTCCACATATCAGCAATATCTATTGTCCATGATTAGTACAGAACACTGGTGGTGTTTCCCATTTCATCTTAACAAATTTAAACCAATCCAAATATGACTGTGCAGTAGAAATCATGAATGAAAATGACCCAAGTGCACAATATCTTCTAATTCAATTGACAAAACTATAAGTTTATATCATCTGTCTTTCATAAAAGAAAATAACAATGTCGTCTATTCCATATACCAAAAAACAAGAATTTGAGTCCTTTTTGTTTTTCCTGTTTTATTTTCCTATAAAGGGACATTATCAAAAGAGGCAGACTTTGATCCCCACTAATCAAGAAAATCAGCTTAGAAATTGCCACATTGCGTTCTTTATTTTCCATAAATATGTAATAAAGACCACTTAATGAATCATTTGAAAGAATGAAAAGAAATAGAAGCATAGCTAGCTAAAAAGAAATAAGAAATTATTACAGAACAAATTATTCCAAATCTCCTTAGATGGCAATGGGCTTGCCATTTCACTCATGAATGAGTACACACAATACATGGTACCTACCCATTACAAATACTAATAGCATCATAAACATCAAATTTACTATAGTCACTCTACTTCAGAAATAACTTCTAACTCTATTTCAAAAGCTCTTGCAGGCATGGTTGTTCTATTCATTTGAGCTGTTGAAGCAAAAGGACTTGGGGGCATGGTCAGACCATCTCCTTCCCCTTCCAGCATTTGTACTACAATGTTCATGGCAGGGCGATCCACCGGGTACCACTGAATGCACCACAACCCAACAATAGTCAATTTCTTTGCTATCTTGGCATCTTCCTCTTCTTCAATGTGCATCCCTAGCTCTTCTCCTTCACGCAAGCGATTATAAATCCATTCTGGAAAGTATGTTTGGCTGGAATCCTCTACTGTAACATCACCCTTCTTCCTCACCCCCACCATATCAAGTAGCAACATCCCGAAGCTATAAACATCCGATTTATATGAGACATTTCCAAAATTCCTAGAAAAAACTTCAGGGGCAATATAGCCTACGGTCCCTCTGGCTGCTGTCATAGAAACTGCACTTTTTTCCTTGGAACACAACTTTGCTAGCCCAAAATCTGAGACTTTTGGATTGAAGTTGTGGTCTAGCAAGATATTATGAGGCTTAATATCAAAATGAAGTATTCGTTGATCGCACCCTTGGTGAAGATATTCAATTCCCTTGGCTACGCCTAGAGCAATATTTTGCAGCTTCACCCAACTAAGTGAATGTTTTTTTTGTTTTTCGGTAAACAGGAACTTTTGTAATGAATCATTTGGTAAGAACTCATAAACAAGTGCTCGTTTGAATCCATCAGCACAGAACCCCACTAGGCGAACAACATTGACGTGGTGGATTCTACCTATTGTTCCCACTTCATTAATGAAATCTTCCCCTTTCCCTGTGGAATTGTCAAGGACCTTAACAGCAACAAGAATTTCATTGGAAAGTTTTCCTTTGAATACAGTTCCGTAACCTCCTTGTCCTAGTTTCTCCTCAAATTGATTTGTGATCTTCTTAATATCAGCATAAGAGTATCTTGTAGGCTTGAGAGCTCTATAGTCCTCCAAAAACTTCTCAATCTTTACTTGGTTCTCTTTCTCCATTTTATTCATGGTATGGAAACGATAGAGTAGAGATGCAACCACCACAAGAAAAAAGGGACCTAAGATTGAACCTGCACGCGAACAAACCAGAGTTCAAAACCCTTTTCAATAGTCCACAGTCCCTGGTACTAGCTAGTAACAAATGAATGATAAATAGACAACCTCACCTCTAATTAATAGCATTGCTGTTGATGATACACCTGTAAAAGATAATAAAATAATTAATTCATCATGTTCATGAAATAAATAAAATCATAATAAAACTTTTGTCCATTTCAAAAAAAAAAAAGATACAACTGTTTAAGTAATTAGTTTTCATGTCTACAAACACCCTGTGCAGAATTGCAGTAGAAAGTTTTTAAATGCCAATATGCCATAAATTTTCTCCCCCTAGATTTTATATCAGAATTGGTAGAAGAAATATAAGAAGTGCTTCATGTCAGGGTTTCAGCCATGGTTAAAAGTATTAATGTTGTATTTTCAATTAAGGATTTTTGGCTCTGTTTGGGGTTGGAGCAAGAGAGATAAATAAAGGCGGAGGCCGGAGTTATTACCATTGCACGAAACAATGATAACTATCACAAATCTTTTTAATCATGATCTAAATTAGTATTGTTTTGATGGAAAACAATAGGTGATGGAATTGAAACCACTAGACCAACACAAGACTTAATTAGTATCTTAATTTTTAAGTCAATCAATGAGAACAAGATAGACTAGACAAGAAAGAAACTTGATAGTGCTAAAAAAAGAGTCTTTGTTTTTTCCCCCTCATTTTCTAAAATAAATCAATAAAACCCTAAACGAACAATTCAAGAATGAAGTTTCACATGGCGGCATTGACCCAAATGTCTTCAACTTATGTGATGCTAATATTATAATTGAACAAAAGTTTATTTTTTTTCTAACAATTTTAACTTTCAAATCAACCCATTATTAACATGTGACAAGATTATAAGTTTTTATAGGGTTTGATTGTAAACATACCTTGGGATTCTTCCGAACATTGAATTTCATATCCCCCTGTGTAGTTCTTGAAACTACAAATCTTGCCTTGTGATTCACATTTCCCACAATTTGGTGTGGACCAATTGAGTTGAGTTCTAAAGTTCTGGCTAAAAAAGTCATAAGGAACGGAGGAAATATTAGCGGCAATCTTGGAGCAAGATGTCAAGGAATAGTAATCTATTTCCACGGAGGAATCAACGGCATAAACATGGTAGCCGGGGACATCAAGGCAAGGGACCAAGTACCCTCGATCCCTATCTGGTGCAGAGCAATTGAACAAGGCAAAGTCATACGGGTAGAAATAATCCTTGAAGTGGAAAGGAGAGACAGGGAGGCTGAGGTTGGCAAGGCAGCTTTTTGGATCATTATAATCATGATAGATATGTATGAGTTGAGATGTATAATCAATTTTCTTGACCAATACCTTCAATGAAAAGGGAAGCTCCAGCACTGTTTGGTTGTTGTCGTTGCAAGATAGCTCGAACCCGGGATAGCCACACTGATTGTCTGGCTGTTGGTCTTTGATCTTGAATGGGAACCTAATGGCGGGGCCATAGTCACTGCACCTTGATACACCGCACAGGGCATGGCCTCCTCCAACCTTTGCTAAGACTAAGATCAGTAGCATTGAAAAGGAGGAGAAGAGGATATTGATCGCCATTTCAGCCTCCATCTCTCTTAAGGTGGATATATTAAGTTCAGTTTCTCTAATTCTCTCTTCTAATTCTCTCTCCCAAGGTTCCAATATTCCCGCTCAACCATGACCGGCTAGAATATTCATGGTCTGCTCTATAGGAATTGAGGCTTAATGCCAAAACTCTAAATTAAACCATTTATTAATATTTGATATAATTTACACTTTTTTTATATAAAAAGAAAAAAATGGCACTCCACACTATTCTTTTTATCTCAGAGAAAATAATAATAGAGTCTTTAAACAGATCCTCTCATATTTTGTAATACTATAAATACCCTTTATGCTATGAAGTTTAATCATTTTATTTTTTTAACCTTCTTTTATTATTTTTGTACGTTTTCTCACTCTTACTCCATTTGATTTCCTAAATCCACATGATGTTTGGCTAATGAGAAATTTAGCTTTGAAGTTTTTTTTTTCTTTTTTCTAAATAGATGTTTTTCTCCATTTGAGTGTCCTAATATTAAATTTCTATTGGTCTACCTTTTTTGCATTCACACTTAATTTTGGAATATGTTTACATCATTGTTTTTCAATAAAAAATAAATAAATACATTATGTCGCTTTCTAATGTCAATTCATTGGACTTTTCTCCCATTTTTAAGAGTGCAGATCGTTGATGCTACTTTTGAATTTTTCAAAGATAAATAATAGTTTCGTTTTTTTATTTTTTATTTATTATTTTGAAAGATACATGTAAAATGTACATGGAGACACAATGAGCGGAATGGGCCAAAGGCCACAAACTTAAAGGACTAAGTGAAAAGCCCAAACAAACCCACAGTTATAAACAAGGGACAAGCCCAACAGCCTAACCGAAAGCATCAAAAACCACTGAAAATATAAATTTGGTGGTTCTCACAGAGAAAAATCAGTCCTCTAAAACTTACAAAGATTATCTACCGTATTTTTACAAGACGAAGACTAGAGCTATATTAAGAAATCCATTAATTTTCTATAAATGTGAAACTAAATCAAGAATTCGTCATTACCCAATAACTATTTACGATATATAATTGACATCTTATAACAATAATAATAATAATGTTGTTTGATACTCCTGGAAAAGACTAAAAAGGAGAATTATTCATCTTTTATTGACTTTGTGATCACATTAAAGTAATTTTATTTGAATGTGAAAATTTAATATTTTTTTTAAAAAATAAAATTTGTGGGGTCTTGTCTTCAAAATAAGATCATAAATACTATATTAATGCCCTTAGATTAGGTTGGGTTTTTTTTTTTTTTTTTTTTTTCATTGGTAAAAAATTCACATCCATTTTGTTCTAATATGGACTCGAGGCCTCAACACTCTTTCTGGAAGGTTGAGAAGATATGGATGGAGTCCATTCAACAACTAAGTAATATGATGGTGAGGATTTTTTATTTTTGCATTTATTTTAAAGTAATGATATTCAAGGTCAATTTGTCGCCTAAAGGAACTTTTATTTATTTGATGTCGTGGATAAATTCAAATGTATATCTTATCTATTAGTTCATCAAAGAGATATTAATATTTAAACTAGACAAATTTGCCTAACAAATAGATCTAAGATTTTTTTTTTTTTTTTTCCAACTTTCAAGCCTCATGTAGAAGGTTTTCTTAGCTCAAAAAAAAAAAGAAATAATTAGAGGGATTTTTGAAGTAAGATAATTTCAGAGGGCAGGCATGATGTAAAATTATATACAGTCATAGAAATGAAAAATTAATAATAATAAAATTAATGAGCCAGCTTGGGCGGGGCAGCTAAAAAATAATTGCAGTGTACTTTTTCTTCTTGCACAATTAAATATTTGTTTTTTATCAATGACTTTGACTAATTCTCGAACAAGGTTCTACCTCCCCTGCCATATTAATCAAATTTACTAGTATCCAACATTTTTAGTGGGCTTAGCATTGCAAGTTGCCTGAAATGACCGGAAACGAAAGCTATAATAGACATAAAAATTCTGTTTGATTCAAACCAATGCTCCATTGAATGAGGTCGATTGATTTCATATTGAGATTGATGTGAACTGAGTTGATCTTTCTCAACAATATCTGTAATAATTTTGACAATTGTCACTAGGCTTGGAAATTTAGGATCTATTAATTGCTACGAATTTTGTTTTTGTGTTTTCGTTATAACTCGAAACAAAATAAGTTTTATTTATTTATTTATTTATTTATTATGTATGGTGTTTTGAATAATAATCGAAAACATGTAATGTGTGTTTGTTTCAAAAATTTTGCAAACAAAAATATATTTGGTAAAAAAATTGTTGCAAAATTTAAAGATATAATGGCTACATTATATGTTATTATTGTGCAGAAACATGTAAAAATATCAATTTAAATATTTCAACTTCTGCCTATTTTAAACATTGTACAAGGCAAAATATGTTTTTACCAAATATATTTTTTTAACTAATCATTATTACAATACCGGACAAAAATAAAACAAGAAAAACAAAATGAGCAGCAAACATGTCCCGATTAAATTATGCACACATAATTCTATATTTAACTGCGGACTTTTTGTGTGGACGTGATTAATTCAAAAGGCCCTCTGTGGCTTTTTCCAATGTATACTTTTAGGAGCTTTGTGAGTTCAGCTTCCCATTGCACAGTCTGTAAAGTAATTCTTATGTTGAAAAACTCAGTAATTCTTATGTTCAACAACGATTTTAAAATATTATAGCACTTTGGTTGTTTCACGTTATACATATATAAATTAATAGAATGTACAGGTACGTCAATATAAAATGTATGTATGCTTAATTCCTTTATATATTTCAATGCTTTTGTAAGTTTAATTTTCAAGATCGAATTGATAAATTCTGTACAAAAGGAAGGGGAAAATGCATGCTTGAAGTCTTAGCAATTACCATTATATTCAATATTCCTGCCGTCATTCTATATATGATTCTTTGGTTATATATTGCTGACTAGTCTGCGCTCCATATAAAATTTAATTCTCCCTATTTCAACATTTCTCACTCTAAAATTTATTTTAGTTAAATTCTCTTCTTTTTTTCTTTTTCTTCTTTTTTTTTTTTATTTTTCAATTTTACCATGTAGTCCGTATTTTTTAGGTGATATATGAGGAGTCATTTATTAGAAACTAACTAATTAGAAATCTTTTTCCAAATTAAATTATTCAATTTGGATAAATTATTCAATTTTGTTCACATCCGATATGATCTAGATGTACACGGCACTACTTGACTTTCTTTGCCTATTTTAGTCAGTCAACCCCATTTATCACTTCGAACCATTTATCACTTCGAACAAAGACTTAGTGTCACTTGATAGCTATTTGCAGTTATTCATACTGTACTAATTGACTTGCTAATATAATAAAATGAGCAGTAATACTCACACTGTACATTTGTAATGAATTGTAGAAATAATTTTTAATTAGTTATTTATACCAAATATAACTAAGTGGATGTCTCTACATTCTTATTTGTTACATAATTGACCAATTAAAAAAGTAGGTCTATTAATTCACTGCAATTATTCGGTACTAGAATCATTTTCCAATGAAAATATAATAAAAATTATTCATTTAAAAAATTAAATTTTAAAATATGTACACTTATTTAAAAATGGAGGAGTAAGAATCATAAACCATGTAAGCTGTGTTGGATCTCTAATTTCTGGTGCATGCAATTTTTTTTTTTATTTGAAATCAAAATTATTATAAAATCATTTTAATTACTTCATATAAGCTTCTATTATCAAGACATGCACGGTTGAGACCTAATTCAATACTTTAAAGGAGGGCTTTTTAACACATTAATATAAATAACATTAGTATCAGCAATATCAGCAATATCTATTGTCCATTTCACCTTAACAAATTTAAACCAATCCAAATATGACTGTGCAGTAGAAATCATGAATAAAAATCACCGAAGTGCACAATATTTTCTGAGACCATTTTCAATGGCCTCTTAAATGGGCTCTCAAACTCAAAATATAGCATGTGGATGGAAAATAAGGCATTCCAATGGTCTCTCAAAAAATTTCTTATATTTTGAAATTCTCAAATGTATTCTCAAATATATCAGTTCTCAAATGGCCTCTCAAACTCAAAATATAGTAAGTGAATAAAAATAGGTGAGCTTTCTCAAAAGACCTTTCATATTTTGAAATTGTCAAAAGTTGCTAAAATAAAAATAAAACACTCCAATAGACTCTCAAAATATAAAATGGTTGTTGTGTCAAAAAATAGCATTTTCAATAAAGCATCATTGGAACAGAATTATAAAAATATAACATTTTTACGCTGTAGTTCCTTTCAAAATATAGATTTGACGTAGAAATATAGCACTTTGCATTGAAGATTCAATTGACAAATCTATAAGTTTATATCATAAGTCTTGCATAAAAGAAAATAACAATTAATGTCGTCTATTTCATATACCCAAAAACAAGAATTTGAGTCCATTTTGTTCTCCAGTTTTATTTTCCTTTAAAGGGACATTATCAAAGAGAGATTCTCAAATGTATTCTCAAATATAACAGTTCTCAAACTCAAAATATAGCAAGTGGATGAAAATAGGTGGGCTCTCTCAAATGACCTATTATATTTTGAGATTGTTAAAAGTTGTTAAAATGAAAATAAGACACTCTAATGGACTCTCAAAACATGGAATGATTGTTTTGTCAAAAAAATAAGTTATATTATTATTTAATATATTATATATTAAAATATATTTTTATCAAATAAAAAATAATGTACAATATTTAATATATTCTATATTAAAAATATATATTTTTATTAATATTTAATATGCAACTTAATATATAATACAAATAATATGAATTTTATTTAAAATAAATAGTATCTGTGTAGTACTAATAGTAAAAACGTTTATGCGCTACAGTGCCAAAAATATAAGAAACATCTTTTTATGTTTTTTTTTTCTTCACAAAAATAAAAACATTTTCAGTTATAGGAAAACAAAAATATATTATTGAATACAATATTTATTTTCGTCTTGCCTTTTTAAATTATGCACACATAATAATACTATATTTGACTGTGGACTTTTTGTGTGGACGTGAATAATTCAGAAGGCCCTCTCTGGCTTTTTCCGATGTATACGTTTAGGAGCTTTGTGAGTTCAGCTTCCCATTGCACAATTTGTAACTAATTCTTATGTTGAAAAACTCTCTCTCACACATGTCTGGAGGAAGGCTTGTAGTTTGTGTCACAGCCCTTGTACTTCTCATCCTTCAGCTACCTCAGATTAATTCAAAAGCTGTGTGTGAACCTTCTTCTTGTGGCAATATCCTTAACATAACCCACCCTTTCCGATTAAAAGGCGATCCACCCTCTTGCGGTGATACCAAGTATGAGCTGGTTTGTGAAAACAATCTTTCTACACTAGCTTTTTTCCATTCCAATAAATACTACGTCCAAGCTATCAACTATCACAACTTCACTATCCGTCTTGTCGATGCCCATATACTACTGCACAATAACCATAATTGCTCCTCCTTACCTCGTTACTCTTTTACCCAATACAATCTCAGCTTTCATGAACACCCCCCCTATACCATTTCTAGATACCCAAGGTACCCAGAGTCAGAGAACAGTATAACGAAGCCTATAATTTTTTTAAGTTGTCCGAATCCATTGGATTCTCCTCTCTACGTTGACTTATCTCCTTGTATGAATATTGGAGGAGGAGGAGGAGAACTCTTTGCTTCTTCCAACTCCTCTACAACTACAAGAAGGATGCATTCTTATGCTTATATTGGGCACCTAAAAGCATCAAGTGTGATGGAATTGTGCAGTATTGACCTTATTTTTATGACATCGTTGCCGGGGGTTAATGAAGTTCACGGAAACCTTTCATTTGCACAACTCCAGAGTGCCCTGCTTTATGGATTTGAGCTTTTCTGGTTTATGGATCAATGTGGGAACTGCACTCGAAGGGATTGCTACCTTGATCAAGACATGGAGCACTTATATTGCTCTACTCCCTATTACTCTGGTAAGACATGGAAATTCTTTTTTCTTTTTTTCTTCTAATTCACTATTTTCTTCACTTCAAAATTTTAACACCTAGTTCTACTTTTAAAGATAAAAACTTCCTACTTACACTAATTACCAAGTACGTCATACGTGTGTGCCTGTTGTAACCAAGGCCGGAGCTAGCAAGTGTATTCCGTCCCCTTATTTTTTCTCTCTTCCTTATTTCGTGTGTGTGTGTGTGTGTGTGTATTTTACTGAGTTTTTACAAAATTCACTTCCTGATTCGCAAAATTGTTAGTCTGAGACCACATTTTTACTCGACTAGACCCAAAAATCTCTTGCTCTCTCTCTATATATATATAACCCATGAACACAAATTTAAATACATAAACATTATTTTTATAAATGTATTTATCTCTCTTTTCTTGGATCCCAAATACATACAAATACATATGTACATGTACATATATTATTTGCATAACATTGCATCAATTTTTTTTCTTTTTTCTTTGTCCTAAAACTTGCTTCGTAGCAAACGGGGTAGGCTTTATCTAAATAGGTCGTAAAGTCACCTAATCAACTACCGTATGGCATGTCCTTACTTAAGCCTGTAATCGAAGGGGGTCGACCTCGCTAACCCTGAAGTGGGTCGATGGCCGAATCTTGCATTTTTTACCACGGACTCGAATACTTTACTTTTTACTTTAAACGGAAAGAAAATATCACTAAATCACAAGCCTTTTTTATTAGGAATTTTAACTAATTCTTATATATTCATGGCCCATGCGGACACTTCAACCATCCATCTTATACTTCGCAAAGTAAAAAAATACCACCGCTAAATGCCCTTGATAGATTCTTTGCATATATCTTATTATTATTATTATTGATATAAGAGAACCTTAACCATCCATCAATAGATTTATTTTAATTATTTTCTTGGGTGGACTAGTACATAGTTAGTACTCGTAGTTAAAACGATCAAAAATTCTCACAATTCTGACCAGATTATCTTATTTCAAATTTTCTTTTGAAATGAATAGTTTTTAATTATTTTTTATATTTTAGCTTAAGTTCTTATGTTAGTTAAAATTTATTTATTTATCAGGTTCAATATGCCCCGAAATAAAAACCCCCACTATATAGCTATTGTGACTTCTTTATATATATTCAGTACCAACTATTCTAGAAGCTTCATTTTGCCAACAAAATTTTTAATTACCCAAGGAAAAAAAAAAAAAACTATTATAGAAGCTCACACTTTACTGGAAAGGGTACAATTATACCCTCAGTTGTTGTCTCTCGTGAATTCATGTTTATTGCATTTCCTCACCTCCCTCATATATATCATGCATGAGGGGCCATTTAGAGCAGAAACGGATTCAGAAATTTTTGGAAAGAATGCAAAAGTGAATTTAGTAGGAGTATAATTTTTTTTTGTAATTTTAAAGGTGCTAAAGTGAAAATTTTATAGATATATAATTAAAAACAAAAATAAAAATAAAAATAATTCAGTCGGGGCAATTTCCCCAAGGCTGTGTCCTGACTTAGAGGTGTTGATTGCTTTTTCTTCTTGTGTTACTTCTCGCACTTTGTTGCATGCATGTGGTTGAAAACTACACTCTTCTTCTTCTTTTTTTTCCTCCTTTTTTTTTTTTTTTTTTCAAGGTAACGTTGAAAAATACTCTTGTTACTTTCTAATTGCTACATGCCATTATTGTTTATATATTGGTTCGTTTGCCGACATGTTATAATAAAAAAGAAAAATGTTGTTACAAGGGAATGTACATATATTTTTGTTTTGGATATTGTCAATTGGTGGTACCCAGCTCGTGAAATTTTGTTCTCTAAAAGTACACCGAAGTGGCTTAAAAAAGAAAAAAGAACACAAGGATATATATATTTTTTTCGAAAGTTACGGAAGGGGTTTTTTTTGCCATAACTAGATTCTTCTTATATGTGTGTTCTTTCTTCTGGACAATTTAGGTATGGATTCATCTTATAAATTTTTAGTTATTTTTTAAGATTATGTTATATTTGATCTTATTCATATATGTATTTTTTTTTTTTTTTTTTTTCTACACAATTTAGGTATTCGGTACAAGGTGCTTTACTGGACGAAAATCGGTAAGAATTCTTTCCCCAGCAAATCACATTTAATAGAGGTGCCTATTGTAATGGACCACCAAAATGAGATGGGTGTGAGTTTGTGACTTGACCTAAACTAATTCATGAAAACTCAAGCAAATCGTGTTTGGTAACATTTTCAGTTTTGATTTTTTTTTTTTTGTTTTGATTTTTCTTTAAAACCAGCAACAAAATATATTTGGTAACTCTATTTTGACTTTTTATATTTCAAAATTTTTAACTCTTTTCATATTTCCTTCACAATCTTAACTCTACAAATGTTTGAGACTTGATTTTCAGTTTTGGTTTGAAATACTGTTATTATATTATTTTTTCAAAATGAGAATTAGAAAATTATTATTTTATTATTTTATTAATTTTCACAATTAAAGAAAATTTATTTTATTATTTTTCAATTATACACAAATCGTTAATAAAATTATAAAATATATTTTATTATACTCGAATAGTAAAATTATAAATGTTATTTTTTCATTTTATTAATTTTCAATTATACTCAAATAGTAAATAAAATATTATTTTATTATGTTATTATTTTAAAATTATACTCAAATAGTAAATAAAATTAAAATATATATTTTATTATACTTGAATAGTAAATTTTAAAATATTATTTATTATTTTATTAATTTTCAATTATACTCGAATAGTAAATAAAATATTATTTTAATATTTTTCAATTATACTCAAATAGTAAAATAAAATTAAAAAATATATTTTATTATACTCAAATAGTAAAATTAAAAGTTCTATTTTATTATCTTTCAATTATACTTGATTAGTAAATAAAAGAGTCAATTTAAAAATAAAAAATTATCAAACATATTTTCTCTTTTCTCTTTTCAAAAATTCAACACCACCAGATTTACATTACCAAACATATTTAATTTTGACAACTCCACACCTTTTCAAAATTCGTCATTTTCACGGAAATGAAAGCAAAGTCAAAAATGAAAACAATGACTTTACCAAACAGGCCCTAAGATGTAGCAATTGGTTTTTAGTCACAAGGTACATTTGGCACAATTATTTTCAGTTTGTTTATATTCCTCACTTCTTTTTGCATGTTTGCTTGCTTTTTTTCTTTTTTTACTGCAGTGACCTATCTGGCGGCACATGTTATTGGTAAGAATATGCGTCTTTCAACACTTAAATATACATATATATAAAAACACACTTAGAGAAGAAAAAATGTGAAAAATATGTCTTGTATACAAAGAAACAAGGCAAATTATAGAATTTAAAAATGCCTGTAATGTAAAGCAGTCTCTTCTTCTGTGCAAAGAATAATAATGCAGCTATAAGTACGTCTGGTCATGATTATCTTGTACTATGCCTCCACAGGATTAAACATTGCAATGAGAATTTTATGTGGAATTCCATTCGGACTGACGGTCTTCATAAAAAAATTGCGAAGAAGGCATTTATCAATGTTCGATGATATTGAGGATTACTTACAAAATCAGAATAACCTCACTCCTATTAGATATTCTTACTCCCAAATTAAAAAGATGACCAATGATTTCAAGGACAAATTGGGTGAAGGTGGTTATGGTACGGTGTATGAAGGAAAGCTTAGAAGTGGCAGCCCTGTAGCAATCAAATTATTGAGTAAGCCTAAAGCTAATGGGCAGGAATTCATCAATGAAGTGGCTACCATTGGAAGAATTCACCATGTCAATGTGGTCCAACTTGTTGGATATTGTGCCGAAAGGTCTAAGCGCGCGCTTGTGTATGATTTCATGTCTAATGGATCTCTTGAGAAGTATATTTTTTCTAGAGAAGGAGAAACACCATCCTTGAGTTATGAGAAAATGTTCAAAGTTTCTATTGGAGTGGCACGTGGGATTGAATATCTACATCGGGGTTGTGACATTCAAATCTTACATTTTGACATCAAGCCTCACAACATTCTCCTTGATGAGAATTTCACTCCAAAAGTTTCTGATTTTGGGCTTGCAAAATTGTACCCAACAAAAGATAGCATTGTGTCTCTGACTGCGGCAAGAGGAACAATGGGTTACATGGCTCCAGAATTGTTCTATAAAAGCATCGGAGGTGTTTCATACAAAGCTGATGTGTATAGTTTTGGAATGTTGTTGCTGGAAATGACGGGAAGAAGGAAGAATTTGAATGCATTTGCCGATCATTCAAGCCAAGTTGACTTCCCTTCATGGGTATATGACCAAATTATTGAAGGAAAGGACATAGAAATAGGAGATGCCAATGAAGAGGAAAGGAAGGTTGTAGAAAGGATGATAATAGTGGGATTGTGGTGCATACAAATGAAGCCTAGCGATCGTCCTTCAATGACCAAAGTTGTGGAGATGCTGGAGGGAAATGGTGAACTCATGCAAATGCCTCCCAAGCCCTTTCTTTATCCAGAGGAGATGCCTGAAGATACTGGAATCAATACAGAGCATTCAATTCAATTGGGTGATTCTATTGATTCCATCACCTTAGATATAAGTGCTTGACCTGTGGCTGAACCACATGGAAATAAATGGGGCAGTTGCACCCCTATTGAACTGTTTGTTATTTTAATACTATATGTTTGTTATTTTATAATTGTGAACGTATTGTCTTCGAACTTTTCAACCCTTATATATATATATATATATATATATATATATATATGTGTCAAATTATCTCTTTTCTTTTCCAAATTATCTGCCCCCTCCTTTTCATGACCATAACCAAGCTCATCTACCTCTTCTATTTTAGCCAGCTTCTCTTTGGCTCCTAAGTCAGCTAATTCCAATTTTTAGCTAATATTATTTTTTTAACAAAATAAGATTCTTTTTTTTATTTTAGAAAAAGAGAAAAGTGAGAAAAAGTGAAGAATTTTGTTAACGGCAATAGATTGATTAAGAAAAGTATTTAACGTTTTCATTTTCAATAAATAAAAACATTTAACGTTATTCATAATGAAATTGAAAATTATAAATGTTTGGGAAAAAAACACTACAAACCAATATATAATTTCATTATTTGTCGTTTTGGAATATATATATATATATATATGTGTGGTAATTTTCACTGAAGTAAATTTCTAAGAAGTCTGTATTGTTATTAACTATTTACCAAAACTTTAATGTGTAACGAGGAAAACAGATTTTTTCATTCCTAAATTCTCTCATTAATGATCTTAATTGAAGGCTGTTGTTGTTTCTCCAACATGTAAAAAATAAATAGATGGAAAAAGAATTGTTTCACATCAAAAAATACCCCACACTTGAATTGTTTTTTTGTTTTATTATAGAGTTTGACTTGTCAACCAAAGACTTCTGGCCATATAATTGCTGGTCCCGCTAAACGTTATTGACTTGTCAACTATAAACTAATTTTAGTTGTTTTAAAACGCTTTTTAACTTTTGGTCCAGTCCATAGATTTGGAATTGGTAGCTATTTGTCAATGTCCATACCTGGACATCTTAATAGTTGACTCACCGTCTACATATTATGCCCAAAAAAATCTATAATGGCCTCAACCATTCATTACGAGGGATTCAGAAATAAAAGATGTATCAAATGATTGATATCTACAATAGATCAATGGATCAAAAGTAAGTGTGGATTTTACCTTAGATATTTCAAATTACATATACTTCATTTTTCAATTTATTTAAATTAAATTCTCTCCGTTTTAACTTTTCTCGCTCTAAAATTTAATCCTCCATATTTCAACATTTTTCACTCTAAAATTTATTTTAATTAAATTCTTCCTTTTTCATTTTTACTAAGTAGTCCGTATTTTTTAGATGATACATGAGGAATTATTTATTAGAAACCAATTAATTGGAAATCTTTTTCCAATTAAATTCTTCAATTTGGATAAATTATTCAATGTTTTACACATCTGATATGATCTTGATCTACACGGCACTACTTGAATTTCTTTGCCTATTTTAGTCAATGCCATTTATCACTTTGAACAAAGACTTGAGTCACTTGATAGCTATTTGCAGTGATTCATATAGTACTAATTGACTTGCTAATATAATGAAAATGAGCAGTGATATTCACACCGAATATTTGCAGTGAATTGTCTAATGCATGCAAATTTTTTAAATTTGAAATCAAAATTATTATAAAATCATTTTAATTACTTCATATAAACTTTTAAGAGATATAATATCACCACATGCACACCTACAATCAACTTGAAATAAGTCGACACCTAAGTCAATATTTTGAAGGATGGCTTTTTAACACATTAATATAATTAACATTATATTTGTAAAAAGTTTTTATTTGAAATCAAAATTTCCTCTCATTTTTAGCATCTTAAATTAAAGAGAGAGAAAATGGTGTAGAGAGAGAGAGAGAGAGAAAGAGAGGAGAAGCCTCTCACGGCTAAGGAAGAAGAAGGAGAAGGAATGCAGAATTTTTGCTAAACGTGCCCCTGATCACAAGCATAGTGTCACGGGCCTAGAGATTTGGCGCAGCGGCACGGCCCGTGCGGCACCAAGGCGTTGCTTCAGCTCGCGCAAGCGCCCTGGTCAGCCACCACGACCTGCCCTCCCAAGGATACATGCTGACTGGTTTCGGCCTGCCATGGCCTCGTCAGGGGAACGGCTCCAGCTCCCGACCAGTTTGTGCAGGGATGGCCAACTCCCTTCTTCATAGTCAAGTCCACGACCAGCGACAAGCACCTCGAACTGAACCGAGTCGACCTGCCTGAACTCTGAAGAGGTACCATCCTGTGCTCCTGCACGCCCCTTCCCTGGAACCATTCCCAGTCAAACTCTGCTCTTTGCCAACCAGCATGCGTGTCTTCCATCCTCCAAGCGTCTTAGGAATCACTTCGTGACAATAGTCCACCTTTGACTCACTAAATGATCGAATTGCCCCCTCATGCCTATATACTACAAATACACACCATTAACATGTAAAAACCACATATACCCTCACATAAATATTAAATACCATGTAAAACATTTAATTAGGTCCAAAAAATATTTTTCGGACACCCAAATACGAGAGTAGCACCCATCTGAGACCTCTCAACTCGAAAATTCGAAAAATAGCAAAATGATCAACAATGTATTTTTAAGAGTTCTGAACTCAAAAAAATACCTCAAACAACTCTCAAAACTCATACAGTACTCCCACAGTGTTAGACTGACAAAACGAGTTGACAAAATAAATAAATCCAAAAAAATTTGAAAAAACTTGAAAAAAAAATAAAAAATGAGAAACATTACAATACGAGTAATTAAAAGATCATACATTCACATGAGACACTGGTTTTTCAGAGAAGTGTGATTGTTTTTTCATGCTTTTACTTATTGTACTTGCTGCATGTTTTAATTTTACTTTCAAATGTATATATATACATATTATTGTTACTTGCTAATTGGATGTCATACATGTCATTATTATTCATGTGTTACTTGTATTTATCTCAGGGAATACGTGTGCCAAAAACCTAATTCTATTGTTTAGCTGTTATTTGTTATGAAAAAAGGATCAAATAGGAGTTTATGAAAATAAGAGAAAAATAATGACAAGAAAAATGAATAGGTACACACACAAACGAGACAAGAATTTACGTGATTCGGCTATACTTACATCCACGGGGAGAAGACAAAACAATATTTCACTATAGAAATAAAGAGATATAAGGCAAAGTGGCTCACACCCAAAACCCAATTACACCCAAAATCTCTCACTCTGATACTGATATTACAAACTCACAATTGATGATTTTGGATTTATCTGGAATGCATGATAGACATGGCTATTTATAGCCAAAGAAAGACAACTTATGCTTGATGATCAAGCATAAGCCTTACTGATCACACATGAGGCTGCTTGGTGACCACTCAAAAAACTTGGTAAATACACATACTTGAAGCCCAAGTTGATGGTGAAGTCATGGGTGATGTATGCTTGCTGAGTTGGCAATTTGATTTGAGCCACAATATTCTAACAAATCTCCACCTTAGCTAAAAAAAAATTCCGAATGAGCCACTGTATCTCTGCAAAACATACTGTCTTCTCCACAACACAAACTAATTGAGAATTTTAGTTAAGTTTGAGTCATGCTCAAACTTAACTCTCGGGCTCTCATTCTTCAACCCATGCATGTCTTGCGCAGCCATAAGCATACCTCCAGTATTTGTGTCAAACTCTAAATGTTTTCTCCAAAAGCAACCTCAAAAATTTCAAGTTTGACATCTCCTTCAACAACCTTCTCCAACCACCCACAAACCACCGGCTGGTAATGAAAAGTCATCTTCTCACCCTTGTAGAGAATAGGACGTCCTTAACTTTTCCTCGCATCTCTGTTGTGACCAACTACTTGCCTCCCACGCATCTTAATGGCACTCGAATGGACTATCTCATTGCCACCAAGATTATTGCAAGTCAATATCACACCTGTCCTCATAGGTCTGCCTCCTTGTAAGGATTGCTGCAATTTCGGTTGCCATTTGAAAACGGATTTCATTCTCCCACCATGTTATGTAGTCCCCTCACAGCCCTTTTGAGAACTAGGATCGTCACTCCTCTTTCTAACTCTTCTTTTGTCAAGACCTGAACGCAGATTTCTGCTAGCTGTAGAAGTCCCTGTAGAAGTTCCACCTGTTACTGTATTCCCTTGGAGAAGATACAAAATTTTCACCTTGGTGCCCTGTAGCACCACAAGAGAATCCATCACGACCATCATTACTCCACCTTCTGTTACAACCTTGTAACCTTTGGTGTCTAGCACACCTACTGAAATAAGATTCATCTTCAGATCTGGTACATGTCGCACATCTGACAATGTTCTCACCAACCCATTGTGCGTCTTGATCTTGACTGTTCCAATTTCCAAAATTTTGAAAGCTTTCTTGTCCGCCGTCAAAATCGAACCACCTTTCACCTCTTTCTAGGAAGAAAAAGAATCCCTATTGGGACACATATGAACTGAACAACCAGAATCAAGAATCCAACTGTCATTAAATGACATACCAGAACACAAGTTTGTCATCCTCCATATTAATAGCGTCTTTTCCATAGAGCAGTGTGGTAACAAAATGCTTATAGGAAGGAGGCAAATAACACAACAAAATAAGAGCTTGATCCTCATCATCAATTTTAATATCAGTATTTTTCAAATCCATAATAATATAATTGAAATTATCAATATGCTCCTTAAGAGGCATACCTTCCTTCATACGAAGGGTGTAGAGTCTCTGTTTCAGGTAAAGTCTGTTGGTGAGAGATTTCGTCATATACAGATTCTCCAATTTCAGCCACAACTTTGCCGCCGTGTCTTCATCAATAATTTCACGCAGCACCTCATCAGTTAGATTCAGAATAATCGCACTACGCGCCTTTTCATCGACCTCATCCTTGTCTTCATCGGACATAGTTGTTGGCAACTTGTCCTTCCCGAACAACACCTTCTTTAGACCTTGCTGAGTTAGCAGGGCCTGCATCTTAATACGCCAAATACTGAAGCTAATTTTGCCATCAAAATTTCCAATCTCGTATCTGGTCGACATCTCAAAAAACTTCCCAAAAAATTACTCGGTGAATAGTACTGTATTTGTGAACAGTGCCCGAATAGTATATGTGAACAGTACCGTACGTGTGAACAATATTTATACATAATATACACGAACCCGAGCTATGATAC